CGGGCAAGATGGAGCTATCTTGCCCGCTCGGGACTACCCGCCGTGTCCCGCAAGAAAAATTTCCCCGAAAGCCATGTAATAAATCCTTCATTGACCAAGCTTGTTCGGTCAAGATGGCTGGATATTGGCCTCGTTCCTTTTTTTGCGAGTTTATGGACCGAGACGGAGTCGAGGTCCATAAACACGCAAAAAAAAGACCTTGGCCAATATCCAGCCATCTTGACCTCACACTTGGTCAATAACCCATACTGCCTGGTATGCCTTGGGCCTTTCTCTACCACAATCATTTTTTTTAATTTTAGTGTACGCTAAAGACGCGACGAAGAGACCAACTCTTCACTGTTCTGGACGAGTTTAATGGACGACGTTTCAGCCGTCCGGCCATCCTCAGGTTAAAAATTAAAAGCTAAAAACCTAAAGTCGAACCTCTGGTTGCGACCACCTCTCCTCAGCGACCAGTTTTCCAAAAACCCAAAAGTTTCCTAGTCAAATCACTACATTTGGAACCTCTTGTAAGCGACCACCTCTCGTAAGCGACCGCGACCACTTTTAGAGCTAATAGTTTGAAATTTTCTTTTTTTTTAACTTCTCGTAAGCGACCACTTGACAGATAATAGAGCGTAAATTGGATAATGAGGTGTCGTAACGCTATCGTATTCATGGTAGTACAAGAGATGGAAATTTCCTCAACGCGAAGTACCGGATTTTTTCTCGAAATTGAATTTTCACATGAATAAAACATTTAAACATGGGATAAGTCTCTGCAGTTACCATATACTAATGAGGCAAAATTTGACCCGATGTAGTCTAAGCTCTCATAAGCGACCACCAGTCCCGTAAGCGACCACCTAGGCTTGATATTTTTGGTGGCCGCTTACGGGAGGTTCGACTGTATTTACAATGGTTGCGAGTTACAAGAACACCGACTTATATACAAAGCAGAAGTTTTGAGAGTAAGGTAACGTAATACAATAAAGGTCTAAATTACAAGGTGAAAAGGATTAAACAATCAAAGGCAAATAAAGAACTATGGGTGACATGTCAAGGTGAATACAATTGTGGCAAAAACTAGAGAAAAATCAAACCTAATTAGTGAGTGTTTTTTCTGAGGTAACAAGCTCCCCATTGAGGGCCTACGAATGAATGTGATCAGGTAAAAATCATAACAGGATCCCAGGAAAGGGCCATTAAACTACAGTAATAATTTCCCTTCCAAAAGCCCTTGGATGAAAAACTTAAGACAAACATAACGGAATCCCTGAAAAGAGCTCCTGAACCCAGAAATAAACAGATATAAACTCATTAAAAATGATAATAGAATTAAATCAAAATGCGTCATATTGGAAAAATGGCAAATCACAACTATTCAATTGTAGTAATTTTAAATGCGGTGTTTTGATCTAAATTCCATGAGGATTAAGGGTAAATAACTGCGCGGTCCAATAGGCCTCCCTAGTGAGTAATAATTGATCAAGATGTAATGAATTTTCAAAAGACCTAATTTGTTCAATGATGATGAAATTGATTTGAGAAATGTCATGTTCAGAGTTATTCACAAGTTCTTTTGTTTTCGTGCATGTTCGACTTGTGGTCAAGAAATCTTACTTTAAATTCAGTCGAGGTGGAGCCTACATATTGCAGGTTGCATTTGGCACTTGTGGCTAAACAAATAACATTTTGTGATGAACAAGATAGTTTTCGTTGAATGGGATATTGACGACCAGTTGCTGAACTTTGAAATTTCGAAGCTTGAATTAAATAACTTTTACAGAGATCGCACTTCTCGTTGCATTTTGAACAATCCCCGCTTTCTTCTCTTTGACTTCTACTAAAGATTACCCGAAATTCGCATGCGCCAACATCTCTTTAAGATTTTTGGTTCTACGATAAGCGGGAAATATCGACTTGGATGGAAAAATTTCTATGACTTCTGGTGGAGATTGCAAAAGACGAAAGTGCTTTTTGATAACCTTTTGGATATCTGGCAAAATTGAATTGTAGTCGAGCATCAATCGAAAAACAATCATTCTTCTATATACATATAATGCCAGATCATGAGTCTGTACATTTTCATCTACTAAACAAGTCAACACTCACCACAGTATCGAAGCGAGCATGCAGGTGTTTTTTGCAACTCATACACGTAAAAGGCGCCGCAATTCTTGACTTTAATGTTATTTTTCCACCGACAACAATTGTTTGTCCAATGATAGCAGACTTCACGAGTCACTTGACCGTCTGCCACAGAAGGATGTAGTCCTTTGATCCATCCTGGGGCATGCGTACCACAACGACGCACAGGTGGGCATGTAGTGGGCATCTTTGGGTTACCAGAAACACCAGTGAAGCGATACCATCCAGGGGTGATATCTCTTTGATCACATCGGACTGGGCTTTGTCCAGTGAAAGATTCGAGGCGGTCGGCTGCATTGAGGCTCTTGTAGCTGCTACATGGGTCATTAGATGCAACTGTTGAAATAGCAGATGTTAACGAAGCCTAAAAACACTTTTACTGTACAGAATTCCATGCTGTGGCCTAATATTAACAAATGTCAGGGAAGAAAATCATGTTAGATAAAGATAAGTGTAAATGAAAGAATAGATAGACATCTACAGTGTTTTTATTTCATGTCAGGTTGAGTTTGTAAGACCCCAAAGCCTACCAGGAAGTTGCCAGCGATACGGTTGCACTGTTTCAATCGCTATGACTATTACATGCATACCATGTCTTTCGTCACTACAGAGATTTCTCTCTTTTCAATGTCTATTGCCTAATTGTCTCACGTTATCTAAGAACGTCAACACTCACCACGGTATCAAAGCGAGCATGAAATAAAGTGGTATATAGAAATCTAGAGTGTATTTTTTAATATCAGGTTGATTTTGTAAGACCTGAAAGCCTACTAAAAAAATTGCCATCGACACAGGTGTACTGCTTCAATCGCTATGACTATTACATGCACTCCATGCCTTTCGCCACTACAGTCATTTTTCTCTTTTCAATGTCTATTACCTAATTTTCTCACGTTATCTAAGAACGTCAACACTCACCACAATATCGAAGCGAGCACACAGGCGTTTTTTGCAACTCATACACGTAAAAAGCACCGCAGTTCTTGACTTTAATGTTGTTTCTCCACCGACAACAATTGTTTGTCCAATGATAGCAAACTTCCCGAGTCACTTGACCGTCTGCCACAGAAGGATGTTGTCCTTTGATCCATCCTGGGGCATGAGTACCACAACGACGCACAGGTGGGCATGTAGTGGGCATCTTTGGGTTACCAGCAACACCAGTAAAGCGATACCATCCAGGGGTGATATCTCTCTGATCACATCAGACTGGGCTTTGACCCGTGAAAGTGATAAGACGGTCGACTGCATTGAGGTTCTTGTAGTTGCTACACGGGTCATTAGATGCAACTGTTGAAATAATAGATGTTAACGAAGTCTAAAAACACTTTTACTGTGCAGAACTCCATGCTGCAGCCTATTATTTAGCAAATGTCGAGGAAAAACTCATATTAGATAAAACTAAGTTGAAATGAAAGAAGAGATAGAAATCTAGAGTGTCTTTTTAATGTCCGGCTGCGTTTGTAAGACCTGAAAGCGTACCAAAAAGCTGACATCGATACGGTTGTACTGTTTCAATCGCTATGAAAATTACATGCATACCATGTCTCTCGTCACTACAGTGATTTCTCTCTTTTTAATGTCTATTGCCTAATTGTCTCACGTTATCTAAGAACGTCAACACTCACCACAGTATCAAAGCAAGCATGAAATAAAGTAGTATATAGAAATCTAGAGTGTATTTTATAATGTCAGGTTGAATTTGTAAGACCTGAAAGCCCACCACGAAATTGCCATCGACACAGGTGTACTGCTTCAATCGCTATGACTATTACATACACTCCATGCCTTTCGTCACTACAGTCATTTTTCTCGTTTCAATTTCTATTACCCAATTGTCTCACGTTATCTAAAAACGTCAACACTCACCACAGTATCGAAGCGAGCACACAGGCGTTTTTTGCAACTCGTAAACGTAAAAGACGCCGCAGTTCTTGACTTTAATGTTGTTTTTCCACCGACAGCAATTGTTTGACCAATGATAACAAACTTCCCGAGTCACTTGACCGTCTGCCACAGAAGGATGTTTTCCTTTGATCCATCCTGGGGCATGAGTACCACAACGACGCACAGGTGGGCATGTAGTGGGCATCTGTGGATTACCAGCAACACCAGTAAAACGATACCATCCAGGGGTGATATCTCTCTGATCACATCGGACTGGGCTTTGTCCAGTGTAAGATTCGAGGCGGTCGGCTGCATTGAGGCTCTTGTAGTTGCTGCATGGGTCATTAGATGCAACTGTTGAAATAGTAGATGTTAACGAAACCTAAAAACACTTTCACTGTGCAGAATTCCATACTGCAGCCTATTAGTTAAGAAATGTCAAGGAAAAAATCATCTTAGATAAAAAAAAAATTGTTGAAATGAAAGAATAGATAGAAAGCTAGAGTGTTTTCTTTTCGTCAGTCTGAGTTTGTAAGACCTCAAAGCCTACCAGGAAGCTGCCATCAATACGGTTGTACTATTTCAATTGGTAAGACTATTACATGCACTCCATATCTTTCGTAACTACAGTGATTTGTCTCTTTTCAATGTCTATTGCCTAATTATCTCACGTTATCTAAGAACGTCAACACTCACCACAGTATCGAAGCGAGCATGCAGGCGTTTTTTGCAGCTCATACACGTAAAAGGCACCACAGTTCTTGACTTTGATGTTGTTTTTCCACCGACAGCAATTGTTTGACCAATGATAACAAACTTCCCGAGTCACTTGACCGTCTGCCACAGAAGGATGTAGTCCTTTGATCCATCCTGGGGCATGAGTACCACAACGACGCACAGGTGGGCATGTAGTGGGCATCTTTGGGTTACCAGAAACACCAGTGAAGCGATACCATCCAGGGGTGATATCTCTCTGATCACATCGGACTGGGCTTTGTCCAGTGAAAGATTCGAGGCGGTCGGCTGCATTGAGGCTCTTGTAGCTGCTGCATGGGTTAAGAGCTGTCGTAGCTGATGAAAGTAAAGGATTATGTAAGTGAGTTGTTTTCAATCGTGACTATATAGAAGAGTTTAGCTTTTTACGATCCTGTTACTACGCCGTTTGGTAAAATGCGTTAGGTCCATTGTTGTCACAAGTTAATTTAATGCCTTTAAGACATTGGTTTTCTCTCTTTCGGTGGTTGAGTATTCTTTAAGGTTGATTTTTTTAATTATTTCCACTTTGAATTCTTAAAAGTTACCTTATTTGTAAGAGGAACAAAATACCCTGCGGTTTCATCTATTCCACTTCTCTGTAATATTTCCAATCCATTTCCCCCACTCCCGCACACACACAAAATGTGGTGCCTGCACTAAGCCATGACAAAATTGAAGGTTTCTTGCGAAATACTACACTGAGAATCGATTCCAGTCAGTGTTTGTATCTTGGTGCTTCTCTAAAGAATGTTAAACTTACCTCGGGCTAATCCAAGCAGGAACAACAAAACAACATTTTTCATTTCCATGTTGACTCTAGGACAAAAAAGGTACACGGTATTAGCGATTAATTAAAAAAGTCAATTCCGCAATCGAGCCTCGGGGTGACCTTAGTGACCCTATTTAAAGTATAATGTTATTTTAGTGTAATTGTTGTAATAAATGCTTGTAGAGTTATGTAGTTGTTGCGTGTTTTCTCGTCTGCATGCNCCGGCCAGGGCTCGAACCCGGACCGCTCGATCCGGAGACGAGCGCACTAACCATGAGGCCACCGCGCCGCCCGCGGGTTTGTTTATGCTTAATTTTTTTGTTGTTGTTGTTGAATTTTGTTGAATACGTGCGGCAACGCATATTTCTTTAGATTTTCAGACAACCTTATTCACGCGTAAATTACGTTAGTACACAAAATCATTTCTCAAGAAGTCAACGATAATCCTTTCGAAAATAGTTGATAAATTAAAAAATAATCCGAAACTAATAAACTGAATATGCTATTCGTTATAAAACGTCTTTATATATCAGAAATACATATCAAAACAATGACAAAGTTGGCAACAGATAAAACCAACGAGCTGGAAAAAAAATCAATGAAATATATTGCAATGACATTGCGTTGCCACACTGTTATAAAATCTGTGGAATGCAAACTAATAGTTGAAATCGGAAGAATCCGTTAGTTACTAAATGAGCCGCCAAATGTGAACGCAGGAGAATTTTTCAAACTGGTGGTTTGTCAGGAAACTAAAATTCTTTGTACTTGACGGCCGGGAGCACACTGTGTAAACGAACATGGCATCATAATTAGTGACACTTAAATAGACTCTTGAGACACACTCAACATGTAACTATAAAAAACTATCCCAGAAGTATGAATAAATCATCTATTTAAATTCATCAGATTTATGTTTTTGGGAAACTTTCTTCGACTTATAATAAACTGTGGCTTTCGTTGTCAAAATAATTATTTTTCTTACGAAATGCCAAGTTTACTTTCCTTGCCTGCATGACGAAGGTTTGATGTGGAAGAAGTAATTTTAAGGATTATTCACTTTTTTACCTCTCTCCTCTTCCTGATCTTGTCTGATCTTGTCTCTACAAGCTGAGGCTGACTACTCGACAGCCCTTTTCATAGATACCCCTTAGCAACGGACCGATATATTTTTGACCAGATGTGATCGAGGAGTGAGTTGGTTTTTATGGACTTTAGCATATGTAAATATTTCACGTGGGAGGTATGTTAAGTAAGCCCTTTAAAAGTGGAGCCGTGAACTCGTTTATGAAAGTAATCCCTAAGCTAGAAATTTCGCCATGACACGTTTAATTAAGCCCTCAGTTCGAGAAATATCCGGATATTGTTTGGGATATTTAAAAGTTTCCGACATATTTAGAAAATATGAACATATTTAGAAAATTAAGATATTTAGATATATTCATGGCTTTTTTTTTTTATTGAATCAATACTAAGTTCTATGCCAGAAACAATCCAGTTCAGCGATTATTAACTCGAAAAATATATTCCATATCACTAAAAGCGCTAAAGCAGTAATTTTACGTCATATTTGTGGAAAGGCCTTGTTTAAAAACGTATACCTTGATGTCTGCCTCATTGCTACCCTTTGTTGCGAGGTCTACAGGCGACGTTGTAATTCTTTACGTTTAGTTGTTCGTAACACTGCACCTAAACTTAATATATTGATCGCGAGCAAGATATCAGAACAAGGTTAGTAACCCTGAGTATATCTTGGCGAAACAACTGATAGCCTTTGAGCGATGGGCTCCAGAAACAACTATATAGACATTTTAATTTTCACTGTATTCGCTATGAAATGACACCTATCTCGGGTGTGGCAGTTTTCGTTGCTCCAGTATAGAAACTGCAGTGAAACAAAGCTAAGGAAAACATATAAATAGACCTAATGAGTCTGAAATGGGCAATAATCGCAGTGCTGCCATATAGCTATGGAATGGTAGCTAGTAAGTGGACAAATCTATCTACGATATAGTGACGAAATTTGCCTTTGCTTTCAAGTATTCATAGTCGGGGCCACTTTCTTCAGTTTTTGCTTCAAAGTAAACATTTATTTTTGTTAATAAACTTTGACACTGTGTGATCGATACTAGAGCTGCTGAAATGAAAATCTACCAATCAAATTGATGCAGCATCGAAGACAACTTTTGAAAAATAAACCTTCCGACATCATCGTTCGTGAAGCGTGTCATGAGAACCTGGTGTTTCTTAGAATACAATATAGTGGTCTTGAAAGAGCACTTCAAAATAAAAATAACAATGAAGCAAGGCTGATTAATACGTAGACAACTTAGATTCTTCGTATACCAGCAGCATTTTCGTGTGCGGTGCCTTGCGTATTTGTATTTACTTCAAAATAAGCAGAAATGCCCAGTTTCCGATATTGTTCCGTTTCCCTACGGAGATATCAACTTACAAACTTCAACGCTATACACAGCGACATTTGTGCTGGACACGCTTTCAAGATCTTTTTAACTTGGAGCATTTGCTTTTCGGGGAAACAACGAGAATTGTATCGAGAATTGTAACGTATAAGCGTACGCAAAAGGCACAACAAATTTAAACGATAGTGCGAGAGAGACACTACAAGAAAATTGTGCATGAGTAGGAACAAAAGGACATTAAACAAAATCATCAACGTTGCATGTTTGTATGGCTTATGGGTGTTGGCGCACAGCGAAATCACATGATTATCGTGGCGTCATCGTGTTCGGAAAGGTCTGTTTTCGTGACGGATTAGTGCGTTTTCGAATTTCTCCGGCGTAATGTGTGCAGTGTACTCTCACAGATCACTGATACCCCTTTATACTCCTCTGTGGAGAGAAGCACTTTGAGAGTATATTGTCTTACCCGAAGGGCATTGCACAATGACCCCGGCCGCTCAAACTCGGACCGCTCAATACGCACTAACCATGAGCCCACCGCGCAGGAATAAAACGACAAAGATGGAAGGATTGTCTGAACTCAATACTTTTACCTCTTAGTGTTTCAAGTTAGTTTCCAAACATTTTATCAAGTCCTTGTAAACCATCGCCGCTGAGAACAAAAACAAATTTAAAGATAATTTAAGTATTAAAACGGGTCACTCTTCTTTTACACTTACCTGAGATAATGACATTGAAAGGCTAGACTATCGTGGGACACCAACTCCCGGGAGTCTTGTGCCGGTCAGTGATAGCTGAGAAACTATCGAACCGCTGTTATGCCTTTTTTCTTTTATCGATACGTGATCTAGATTTCTACCTTTCAGTTTGGCAGTTAAACACAGCTGAATGCTGAAATGTTTACTGAGCCGTGAGAAGATGCAGTTTATTTACTGATAGCTTTTCTAATGGCTTCGGTATAAATCTTTAGAGTGAATGAAAAACTCAAGCTGAAGTCATTGCCTAATTGCGTAGTGGCGAAAGCTACCTTGAAAACTGTTGCTTTTTGACGCAAACACTATTTACCCAGTTTAGCATGATGAAGTTTTGCTAAGACACGTGAACTATGAATATCCTCGAACGGTGAACGTGGGTAAATAGCATATTTGTTAGCATGAGTATATTGACATTGATCAAACTTGTTTCCACATGAAAACGGCGAGGCATCAAAGACAGTGGCGGAATTAGGGTTAGGGTTAGGGCTAGAGTTAGCGTTAGGGTTTAAAATGGTTATGAACTTATACACAAATTCTAAATTTTCACGCCAGCGAAGTTAGCGTCAGAACTCACAGCGACGTTTTAAATATAACAATATTGTTATCGAATAATTGTGTTAGGCCGAGTCAACGATGTTAACTGATTAAGAAATGATAAGCGTGCAGCGTGCAACTATCGAGTTATGAATGTACGTGGGAGGTTGCTAAGCGGGAAAGAAGCGTAAGAGTCGCATGAGGCGATAGCCGAGTGCGACTCTAGCTTCTTGAGTGCTTAGATAAAGTGACACATCAAAACTTTTCTTGGATCGCGGCGAGTTAATAGTTTCTAGGGCAAACAAACAATTTCAAACTGCTCGGTTGACCTAAATATCAAGCTGGCAACAAACGAAAATTGCAGTCGGTAAAAGCGTTTCTCAAAAATTGGTTAAGTTTAAATTTGGATCAGTTTTCCGAAGAATTGAAAACAAACTTCACCCGGTTGAAGCTTCTGGTGGTTGAGCTCTTTGTCCTTCACGGACTCTTCGGCAAAAGAAAAGAACAATATGGAACCAGACATTTCTTAAAAGCGATATTGGGGAAGAAAGCGAACAAACACCCCTGGCTTTGAGCTGTTTGAGATGTTCTTATTCAATTGCAGGTTTGTGGGTTACGTTTTCCTTCCCACCTCGTTTTAAATTTGATGAGTTGCGCGTCTAAGGCTGAAATTGAACACACG